CGACGTTAATTGTAGAAGAATCAGCAGTCGTAGAAGGATCACTAGTTCTATTCAACGACTCTTTTTCCTGCTCCGCTCGCTTCCGTGCTCTGTAATAACGGTAATATTGTGCATTTTTCTCTCGTGTACCTCTTGAACCAGTGGAAGTGTTTGTGGTTGTCCCATCGTCTCGCCGTGGAAAATGTATTTGTATTAATAATGTATGTGAATGCGTCATAATGTAATTTCAAAAGAGAAAACCTAACAATCAATTGATATTCACAAGAGACGTACCTTCACATAACCTTAATTCCGCCGCATCGTCCGTGGGATTGTTGTCACTCATTTTTTACAATTGTTATCCACTAAATTTGAAAATAAAAAATACTATCCTATTAAATTATATGTGTATCAAATGAAACTAAAAAAATATTTATAGAAGAACAATACTTTTATGACTTTTATTATTTTTATGCTAGTGAGAACCCAATTAATATGGAAATGAATGAGGGAAAACTGAATCCTACCACGTGATTTCCCGGCCAATAAAAATGTATCGTTAAACGTTTAACGCAACCTTGTTGGAAGTCGCATAAGATGTATAACTTCAACAAACAAAAAACATTTTAAAAACTACTTTTTCCAAGTTGACTGCTGTGGGGGAAATATGTAAGTGATGATGATGATCACTTTACGAAAGTGTTTCCTCCGTTTTTCATTTTAGGTTTGATAAAAATAAAACTATTTTCTTGTTACTTGAAAAACCAAGTGTTTAAAGTAAATAACTTTAAATATGATTTGTCTTCTAGTTTTTTGACTATGGTTTAACTGCATTTCCTAAAGTGACTGCCTGGATGAACAAGATAAAATCACAAGTTCCTGAGTACAAAGAGCTAATCGAAACCCCAATGACCAAAATGATTGAAAGTATGAAGTCAGACAAACAAGCCTAATTTTCAATCTATATTTCGTTTCACAATTTGTATTACGTTTTCATACCAAAGTGCAAAAACTTATATAGTACAATTTTACAACTTTTATTTTAATGTTCTTCTGTAACAATGTTGATTTAAATAAATCGAATTCTATTTGAAATTGTGTTGCTTTTATTTCGTTGGGTTTAAACAATATTTATCTAAGAGGGGATAAAGCGATCGGTTGAGGTGAACTGGGTTCGAAATCCAGCAATGGCTGCTCGATACGAAATTCGCACCCGGCTTGCACCGACCACAGAGTTGACGTAAAATATTCTCAGTGGTAAACGGATAATGGGTTAGAGTCCCCTTGCCGTCAAGCTGATCGTGAGAGGTTTTTCTAAACGCAATTGCGCGATAGTTCCGCCAAAAAGTACGACGGCAAATTTCTCTCAATACTTGCTCCCTTGTCTTCTGGATTGGGTTTAAAATTACAAGGTTACGGAGTTGAACATTGGGTCGACTGTTCAACGACGGTTATGAAATAAAATAAAATATGCTTTCTAAATTGGATTTTCATTTTATTTTTTCCAACATGCATTTTTTTAATACTAGGAAGTTTAACCCCTTGGTACCTTTATAAATCAATATTTTTCAACATACATAATTATTGAAATTGTATTTAAGAAAATTTTGTTAATCGTAACAAAATGAATGATTACTTGCATGTAAAAAATTAAACAGTATTTGTAAATATAAATATTTAAAGAAAAAAAAGTGAAAAAATAAGTAATTTTACTAGTGAAGTATCTAAAAGATAAGTGTTTTTTTTTTTATTAAATTCTTAGTAATCGCTACTGTTAACATAGTAAAAGTTAGTGACTTTTCTTTGCCAAGATTTTAAAATGAATTAATGTGAATTATTTATTGTGGTGGAACATTATATAGTTTTCTTCTAAACCACAGAGAATTTTCGCCGCCGAAATGGCTCGTTAACGAACTGATCTTGCCAATGAAATGATCAATTGACGAAGTAATTCACCGATTCATTGTATACTTTTTCCTCGCAATTTTCTGCATTCATTTACTTTTATCAAGAATCATTCACAATAGTTAATGCAATTGCTTTTGCGACGCTAAAAACTACAATAACGCACATTAAAAGTTATCCAAAGAATAGAAATAATTAGAATAGAAGAACTTAGAAATAAGTGTTTAAAACATGACTAGAAAAAATGTGTATAATAAGAACTAAAACACCAAATGTAAAAAACAAAGTTTAATTTTTGCTATTTAAAGGCAATTTTCAAAAGAAAAATAGTTTTCTGGCAACTACAACATATTATAAAAATTTTGCTTCAGGCTAGGTTTAAAAAAATTCAACACTATATTGAATTACGAAGCGGTATATCACGTAATCTAACAAATCATAAAAATAGTTTAAAAATAACGCATGACTTATCTTCCGAAATGACCTTGTCCGACGAAATGGCCTGTCGCTGAACTGAATGCGATCCGTTAGAATTAGTACAGTTAATGTTGTCATGAAAATTTTTAGTTATTTTTCTTAAGAGCATAATGAATAGAAATTTTCAAATTTTTTATTTTTGATTAAAGAATTACTTTTGCTCCGACTTAATTAGTGTTTGGCATAAATTAACACTTACGTGGCTAAGAGCAAGGTTTGTTAATTACGTGTAATTAAAAAAAACCCTTCGAAAGTGAAAAATGTCTCATATTATTATGGAATGTCATAATATTAAAATAGTGCAATTTGATTAATTTCTATTGTTAAAATATTATACTTATTTTAAAAAAATACTAAATTAAAACAAACATTAGGAAAAGTTAAAAAAAAAAAAAGAAACGAGAAAACTTCTGAAAGTCCTGAATGAATAGATTAGATTGAATAACGAATTAGTTATGCAATACAATAAAACAATTACAATAATAATCAATATAGAGACTGAAATACTTGCATATATTATAGAAAATAATTGTAAAAGATTGTATCAAAAATAAAAGCTTATTTTTTCAGTCTTAAAAATAATTTTGTTTTCGATGTACTTTACCAGAAACTAAAAGATATATTTTATAACGAAAAGAAAGCGTTATTTCTTTCAAAATGTATACTTTAAATGAGAAAGATAAGATAGTTTTTACTTGCACAATTTCTCACTACATATTATGTTACATAAATAATGAGACTTTTTACCTCTAAGGGTATGATTTTTCAAAACATTAGTATTTCCAGACTTAAAGTTAATTTTAATTTCCTAGTAATATTATTTCTCCCCTTATTATATAAGTTGAAAAAATACAGAAATAAAAATTCCCCCTTTGTTACATTTATAATAAAATTTACGCCATTTAAAATTTTGTATAGTGAAAATTCATACGAAGAATGCTAACTCACGATATGTTCGAATAATTGCGTATTGTTAACGCCCCAAGTAAAAACAGCTCAAGATTTCAAAATGGCGTTCGTAACTATTACGACTCAATCATCGCCATGAATTGATAAATTTCATTTTTGTTAATAGTTATTGAAAAAGAATGAAAATAAATATTGTGTCTTCCATGACACAAGTTAATTAAAAAGAAAGATTTCATATTGTGTTAGTGTAAATACGAAACAGGTTTTACACGTTCCCTATTTTTCTCCATTAGTAACAGAAAAACCATTTCGAAATATGAGTTGAAGCGGCAACAGCGTAGAGGTAAAGCTGAGGTAGAAGTATTATTCAGCTCCCCTTCTCCCTCTCTTATCAACACACATGAAATCGGGACTATATCCATATTATATCCAGAGTTGTTAGTAGAGCCGTTAACCGCAAAATATCAATGATTAATTTAAGAATATAAACATTGAATTTAATTGTTATTCAAGATTAATAAAAACATTTTTTAAAAATTTTACTTGACAGACGTAGATATGGATACAGTTGATTAACCGATTCGATTGTTCTTTAATTAACATAACATATATTAAAACCTTGATTCAATGAAAATTTTGTTATTATTTTATTTATTAATTAATATTTCTTATATGTCAAACAAACAGGATGCAAGATAGAATTTATGGAGAGTGTATATATGCAACTACCCCACTTTGTGTTGAAAATCGGTATGAGCTGAAGGAAAATGTTACAAGAAAGAGGATGGGATGCATAGGGGAAGGAAGGAAGGGGTCGCAAATCTAATGTTGCCATCTGCTATAATATTTAAATAAATTATGATGCTGCCACTAATATTTTTTATGATTAATTAAAACTCTTGAGGAAGAATGCGAATAAAAACATGAAAATTATATCCTTTAATGCTTATAACTTTTGAAAATACATATAGCGACACNAGTAAACCTGACAAAACGATGAAGAGATAACGATGAAAACGATGATGTAATCGACCAATCAAATGCCTCTATTTATTAAAAAGGCGGTCAGCCAAGCAACAGCCTTTTTGTTTTACATAAATTTGTGCTGTGATTAGAGAGAAATAGGCATACAGAAGCGAACCGTATGTAAATAAAGACAATGACCTAAAACTACCAACCCTGGTAGTGTATCCTTGTGTCTGTGGGTACAACCGGCTGAGCAACTGCTCATGCGCAGGGCGAAATTTTTGACGCCTCAGCCAGTTGTAAACACCGAAAAGTTGCCAAATGTTGCAAACCTATCCCTTTACAACTGGCTGCGAGATTTCTCAGCTTTGGATAGAAAGTTTATTAAATCATTGCCAGATAGCGCTGAATTTCAACTAACAGATGGTGATAAGAGGAATAAATTTTTATTTAATAATGATATTAAGTTTTTAATGAATTTTTAGAAATACATGATTTTTTAAAATTGTCTTATAATATACATGACAAGAAAAAATAAGTGTGTGAAGTAATTAACTTCTAATATACTATTATATAAATTAATCTTATATAATAGTATCTTTGGCTATACTCATATCTTTAAAAATATGCAAACTCATGATAATTTTTTATTTCAAAGAATTTTTCAAACATATGTATGTATATATAAGCATTTCAAATTCATGCGAATAGTTAGATAAATAGCTATATATTAACAAAATCTATTATTTAAGTGATAGTACACATTTTTCTCATTAAGACATTGTATACAATTACAAAAACAGAGTATTTGGTAATTTAATTTAACTATCTTAACATTTCATTCTTTGTAAATATTAAAGATTGATACAAAACATGGATAAAATTAATTTGATCCTATTCAGAACACTCATTTAAAGCCTACTTCATACAAATAGGTAAAATTATAGTTATATGTCATTATATGTAAATTAATTTTACATGATTAAATATTGCAATTAATATGATTAAATAATATAACTTAAATATGATTATGGCAATCTTACTGCTTTAATTATTATTTCTCACATGATTAGGCAAAGCATAATTTGCTTTAAAATATGTATTTGTAACACAGAAGATTTAAAAAGATTCTTAGAATTGAAGAAACAAAAATAGCCAAGTATATAATGACACTGTACTGAAATTATACATTTAGTTGTTAATTATGTGGTTTTGAGCTTTTAAGTACAATTTAAAAACTATTGCCAATAAATAATGTTTCATGGAAATTCAGCCACTTAATAACCCTTTGCATTCTGAGTACTTTAAAATGATTTTTTTTCGTTACAAGTTTATTTAAAATATGCAATGGATTACCAATTTTTAATAACTAACAATCATAAAATAATGTAATTAATATCAAAAAAAATTTTTAAGTGGTTACTTTTGATGTCACATCAGAATGATTAGAAAATTTCAAAAATAATAGGTAAACTTAAAACATAACCTTTCTTAAAACATAAGTTATCTTGCCATATTGTACTTAAGTCTATACTGTTATTATGCCTTATACTTACTAAAGCAATTAATATTTATCAAATAAGTAACAACAAGTGAAGCATATTTTATCTTAAAAACAATTTAACACACTACAAAACATTAAAAATCATAAAACAAACATCAATTAACAAAATTACCTAACTCAAACTGTATATAAGCCCATGTACTAGTAAAAACTAAACAGTAGGCTTATTATTTGGGAATTCATGTGAAAACCTTGTACAAGCTGTAAATAAATAAAAAATTAGACATGCTACACTTGTAAATAAAAATGCACCATCTTGCAATAACGGTTACACAGTATGTATAAGCAAGAACNAAGCCCATGTACTAGTAAAAACTAAACAGTAGGCTTATTATTTGGGAATTCATGTGAAAACCTTGTACAAGCTGTAAATAAATAAAAAATTAGGCATGCTACGCTTGTAAATAAAAATTCACCATCTTGCAATAATGGTTACACAGTACGTATAAGCAAGAACATATTGATTCATGATTAGAAGATTAAATAATAAAAGTATTCCATTCAAATTGTCATTATTTTTTTTAAAAATTTTTATATACAGGCATTCAAATTTCCTCTATTTTACATTTTGTATGCAAGTTTCACAATATTTACCAACTGTCATTATTTCACCACAAAAGGAGAGGCACTTTTGGTAATGTCCTAGTGTAAATTTTCAAAGCTAGTGAATCGAATAAGCTGACCTCTCCCCTTTAGCATTTATAAATGTTTTGCTCATGATTGGACATGGTAATTAAAACACATTGGGCACCAATGAATACCTCACTAACTGTCCTACTTTGGCTCTTAGATTTAGTAAGACAATGCAACACTTAATATGCACCATACAAAGCTGTTAAACATCTAGGTATGCAAAATCCATAGGTTAAATGATTTTTTTATATTAGTTGCTAAAAAAACTTAAATATAATGCAGTACATGTTAATAGACATGGAATTCCACACACAACTTAATAATACAATATATATCTAACTTAAACTATATACATATAAAGTAGAATACTCACCATTATACTTACTAATACACCTATATTATCAGATTCCCGAAAAACTCCACACTGAGAAAGTCGTTTGCGGAAATCAAAAGATGCGGCTTAGAAGGGGCAATAGAAAGAAATACTTGATATCAAAATAATAAACAAGTTCCCTCACTAAAGCCCCACTGAGCCATTGAGCATCATAGATTATTGCTAAACTGCATCACTTTTCCACAGTTAAAGGAAATGCTTGCACAACCACTGTTTAAGAAATCTTACAGTACTTATATACATTCTGGTATTTCATCAATTATAGATGGGAAATATACATAATTATAAAATAATCTTAACTTTACCGGGATTTTGCACAAGTAGATTCAGTTGAAAATATGTCGCTAAATATATCAATTAGTACAAACTACACCAATTCTAAAACAATGAATGAATCAGGATAACATTCGATAGATTTATTACGGTGCTGTTTTATATTAACTTAGTTAAACTTAATTCAATGTGATATACAAATCTACAGTTACCACATTACTACGTAAGCTCAATCATAGTCAGATTTTATTATCATAGAAAAACAATAGGGATTACACAATACGTTTAAAAATTTCAATTAATTCATCATTATAAGTATCATAATTTAAGAATCTACATAAGGTTAAATAATCTTAAAGAAAAGTAATTATAATGTCAACCATCATTTACATTAATATTAACCTTTCAATTGTAAATGATGGTACATTGACACCTATTTATGCCATATAATTACCTTTCATTATATTTTCTACACATAAAAGAAATTGAACAGTTCAGAAATGTTTTATTGGTTATAGTTTACATATGCAAAAGAATAAACTATCGAATATTTAAAATAATATTAACAGACTTTCTTATTATATCAAATAGGAAAACAAATATGTAACTAAGCCTAACTCAGTAACGTGGAAATCTTTTAACTACTTTATCACAGATAATTAGAATTATTAAATGTCGTAAACGTTTTAAAATACATTGATGCAATATTATAAACAGAAAAAAATATTTAAAACAATCAACTTACTTTGTTTAATGAATTATAAATAAAGAGCTTTGAATAACAAGTAGAAGCAACAAACTANCGTGATGTCATGATCGGGTTTCTCTTTTTCCTCCTACCCCTTGGCGGCCTATCTAAATAGGTCGCCAAAAAATTGGCGGCACTTGGCCTTGCCGTAGTTATGATAATCATCCCTATTATAAACAGAAAAAAATATTTAAAACAATAACTTACTTTGTTTAATGAATTATAAATAAAGAGCTTTGAATAACAAGTAGAAGCAACAAACTATTACGTATACCTCCGCGCAATCGCTTCAACAGGGTTACTTTTCGAAATTATTTGGTGAAAATTAAATTCCAGCCAAGCATTTCATGCGCAGTTGCTCAGCCGGTTGTACCCACAGACATGCTGTTCTGCAAGAAGGACAGGGAGGAGGCGTTACTCATTGATTAGTATACTGCGCATGCTTGAAAGGTCATCCTGTTTCCTCAGGATTCACAGACATCCTATTGCTATACACTACCTTTTGTTCAACTTGTCATTTGGCGTGTTTTTTTTGGTAACCCTAAATTAATCATTTCTTCAAATTACAGATGAAATGACATTTTAAATTATTTCAATGTTGCTATTCATCTTCATTATTTTACCTTTTTTTACATAATTGTTTCTATAAATTGTCTATGGATGGTGTTTTCAATATAAATGTAAACAATAACAATCTACAGCTCAATACTTGCTTCAGTTCTGCAACTGCTTACTACAGCTTATTCTGCGAGGCGATATTTTCAAAAGATAATTTTGTTTTAACAAAAGAAAAAAAATTATATAATTTTTAAGCTCAAATCTGTTGTCTTTCATAAGATATTAATGATAATAAGTAATTCTGGTGAATAAGAAGTGAAAATTTGTTTTATTTATTTAGAGATGTATTGTTAAATAGGTGACATGGTTGCTAGATTTTGAATAACTCCCTTTTTTGGCTTCTTTCCATTTGTTTATTACTGTTGCAAGCTGTGCACCTTTAACATTGTAAACACAAGTAATCAATATGTAAGTTAATATTGTCTTTTTTTTTTCAGGTTCTGAAGTTCGACATTCGCAATCATCCCTAATGATCCAAAAAATCATCCCTAATGAAAAGTTATTGAATCCGTAAGGGGTTTATTTTCTTTTAATAAGTTCTTGTAAATATATTTGTCATCATTCACCTCTTGCAATGTGAAGCTGGTTTAAATATATGTGTTTATATTTTAATTCTTAGTTTACTTATTTATATATTTAAATGTTTTTTTTTTGAAAAGTAAAACTTTTCTTATTTTATGTTTCATAGTATGTATTTTTTGGCGGGGTTATAAAAATATTCAATGATTTTTTAAGATTAAATATTTAGTGCTTCAAAAGGGTACATAAAACTTACTTGTAGTTGATCAACATATTTTCTTCATTACCATTTTTAACTGATAATTGTGGTTGAAACATTTAATTAGTATTTACTTATTTGAATTTTTACAAAAAAAAATTGTATGCTAGATTTTAGCATAACTTTTTCTAGATTCTGCAAGAGCTTGTTCTTTTACAAGAACTGATTTACGATAAATTATTTTCAGAATGAAATTTTGTTTTCTTTAAATTTGAATTGTTTGTCAATTTGCTTTTTTAAAATATTGTTATTTGTATAATTTTTTTTCTTTCTCATAGTCTGCTAGATTGCAAAGTCTTGATGNTCTTTTACAAGAACAGATTTACGATAAACTATTTTCAGAATGAAATTTTGTTTTCTTTAAAATAAATTTTCAATAATGGTATCATTTATGTGTCAATTTGCTTTTATTAAAATATTGTTATTTGTATAATTTCTTATTTGTTTCAGATACTTACATAATTTTTTTTCATTTTATTTCCGTACTTAATTTTTGTATATTGTTTTTATTTAATTCTCCATAAATTAAAATAATTAGATGACTTTGCTTGAAAAGTTGTTATAGAATGCTTTTAAATACTATAATCTATTATGGAAAATATAGTTATAGAAATTTTTTTCCCCAATGATAAAAATTCACGTGGAGAGTTTTTGCAAAACTTCCTTTAACAAATTTATAACTTACTAGCAGGGTTGGCAAGATTTTGCCGCAGGTGGAAAAAACCGTGGTAAATACCGGTAAAAACCGTCCTGGCAAAAACAGGTTTTTGCCAACCAAAGTGGCAAAAAGTGGCAAAAACCTATATTTTCCAAGATGAGAGGACAAAAACACATTTTTGATACAAAATTATTCCTAAAATTGAAATATATACTATGAATATAAATAATTACAAAAAAATTAACAAAACTATTTTTCCATAATTAAATGATAATGTATCATTTTAGTAGTATAAAACATTATTGATTGGAAAATTTGTGATTATTCTCTTTTTTCCAGTGAAATGAACTTATTTTAAATTAATACAAATATAATTTAAAGCATAAAATATCTATCAACATGTGTAGTTAATTATTGTACAAATAATAATTTTTTATAATAAATAATAGTATTATACAAATAATAATATTTATTTGTAAAAAAACATTTATTTTAGGATTCTAAAATGAAAAGAGATCAAAAACTTTCAATCTTTTAAAAATTATTACCCTTAGGTATATTAATTATTAATATGTTAAAAATAATTTTTTCATGTAATGTATCAAAATTATTATTCCTTATGATTGATTTAAATTTGTTTCAAGTATTTTGTAATAATATTTAATCAGCAATTTAGATAATTTGGTTTTTGCCGGTTTTTACCAGTTTTTGCCGGTTTTTACCAGGTTTTTGCCACTGTCCTGGCAAAAACCCCTTTTTGCCGGCAAAAACTCCAACCCTGCTTACTAGTATATAATCAGCAAATTTTTCTTTTAAGTATTTTTAATATACGGAAATGTATAATTTTTTGTTTAAATTTTTCTTTTGCAGTGGTGGTAAAAATTCATTTGTTTTTAAGTAAATAATGCTAGAGATAAATTATTTTCTGAACTTTAGGCATAAGGTGATCAATTTTAATAATTTTTTCTCATAGTCTGCTAAGTCTTGATGGAACTGATTTTAAAGAACATACAAGGCGAGCACTTCGTCGCATCATGATGTTGCTGAACTCTATAGCTGGGTGGGCAATAATGAAAAAAAAGATTTTTGGGTTACGGAGTGTCAGACCCAAATATTGGTAATATTTAATCTCTCTTTATATATATATATAATTCCATTTGTAGTTTGACAGTATATAGTTAAAATTTGTGTTGCTAAAGTTGCCCTTCTAAAAAATGAATCTTATTTTTAAAAGTTTATATTCATTAAAATGGTATTATTAAATTTAATTTTCAAATAAACATCTATAACCAGCTTTTTTCAAACTTTTTAATATACTATAATTTTAGTATTCCATGAATTTTTAATGAGTTTATAAATTTCTAACATTCTCTATTTTTGGAATAATTTATAAGTGTGTAATTGTTTGAAATAATCTTGTTATTAGTATCACCATCTTCTTTTCCAGTCACAGTAGAACCGTAATCATACGATATTTCAGTTATCCAACACTTCTTGTGACTTGCTCTTTAAAATATTCTGATCATTGTTACATGTGTTTGTACTAACAGCTTTATCATTATTACAGTTGATGTTGCCAGATTATTATTGTGACAATGAATCAAACATGCATCAAATCATTTTATTTTTTGTGAACTAGTATACTGTTATGTATGATAGGCGATTAAAAAAACTAGCCATTTTTTATTTAGAGTGATTTTAGTCCTAATTAAAAAAGCAGCTTAAGAAGGTCACCCCATAATATTTTCCCTGAAATTAACAGAAATCTGAGCTTCTACTAATTTAGTTTTAGATACCTTTAGAATAGGTTCTTATATAATTTTATGTTTGTTCATAAAATACCTACTGGTTTGTTTATATCTTCCTTCTGTTTTGTTTTAGGGGCTGTTTGCAGTGTTTTCACAAACACGAAAGTAAATGAAGTTGAAAGCATTATTTAAGGCTGGTTGCGCCATGCCAAAGAAAGAAGAGTTTATTCTGAAAAAAAATTAAAGAAATAATTGTGTAAATAAAAGTTTTACTTATGCTACTCTAATATTGTTTATTTTTTTCTATTCTCATATTTATTTGCATACGTTAAATTTATGCTGCAAAAAATAGATAAATCCTTAAAACAAATTATTTTTAATATCTTCAAGATACTGATTTAAGTATGCCTTCAGCTAACAATTCTTCAGCAAAACATGGCAACAGCTGTTTTAGTTTGTATATAAAAACAGATAATTTTCTAATTTTATTTGTTTTTTTAAATTGCATCATTGACACAATAACTAAACAATAAAGTATGTGAGTCATAGACATATATTTTGAGTTTTTGATAAAATAGTGACAACTTCATTGAAACTATTTATAATATAAAATGTTTTTTAGTAAATTTTGCAGGAGAATGTAATGAGAATTATTTTGCCAATTAAATAGTTTCAAGTGATAATACGAGAAGTTTGAATATTATGCGAAGTTCTCAGTATTAGAGCAACATTAAAAAGAAAATTATTTATTATTTTATCATAAGATCTTTAATACATCTACTACATCAAACAATATGAGCAATAATGAAGCAATCATTGTTGAAAGATTCAACAAGACTCACAATTTAATTTAATTAGAAATATTCTTTAAAGAAAACTAACGATAATTAGGAGACTTATAATCTTCCTTGGTGTTTAAAGGGTACATTCAATTAGACTTTTTATAATGACCAAGTTTTTATTCCAAGAAATAGAAATCCAATGAACTTGCATATTTTTGGATTAAAATGTTACATTTGTTTTTTTTAACTGTTTTCTTTACTAACTTTCCTAAAAAGAAAATAGTTGAGGAATAGCTCATTTTTCTGGAAAATTAGTAATCTAGATACAAATTAAAAACTATCACTTTTTTTTTTCATTTAGAAAACATTCTTCTGACCTCTAATTCACTAAATTTAAAAGAAAAACCTTATTTAAGTTGCCAATATTAATAAAAATTTCAGAGATGATATTTATTTCCAAAATAAGACACCCTCCTATTACTCTCATAACATTTCCAACATGCATCCAACAAGTTACCTAAATCCTTACTAAACACGTCTTTTTTTGTCCTAATGCCATCCTGAAACTGTCCTAGTTATGACATCATTAAGATATCTGCAGGTGGGACAGTCTAACACGCAGATGACATCCGTAGGACATTTAGCGGTAAATATAGGACTTCCTCTGGAAGTCACAGAATCCTAAAGATGACAACTTTAGGATGTTATAACGAAGTTGATGTGCTGTATGGGGAACTAGTATGACTGGACCTTTGGCAAATGTCCAAAATATATACTAGGTCTAGTTAAACGCCATTGCTCGGTATACATTTGCCTAGTATACCTTACACTGATGTGTTAAGGTCAAGTGTCATTCCCCGGTATACCCTACACTGATGTTTTTTTAAGGTCAAGGGTCACTGCCCGGTATACATTTGTCCGATACTCCAAAAACTGATGCTTGATAAGAGATAACTTAAACATTATCTGTATAAACTTACAAAAAGAATAAAGTTAGTCAGCAGTATGAACAGAGCAGTGAGCATAAAAATCCTTAACAGAGATTTTCCTTTACACCGTATTCACTATGGAAACTAACCCACAGGTTTTATGAGAGCAAAAGCAGGTTAGAATCCAAATTTTTTTCCCACCATATACGTAACTGCATGTCAGTTGGTCCCAGAGATAACTAACTGAAATCTGAAGATTTCCTCGGTTCGAGTAACCGCAGGTGCGTATTAGGCAAGTTTTTATTTGTTTATGTTTTCAAAATTGACACTTTTGATGTCCGTGAGGTCAATTTATTACTAGATGTAACTATAATTAATTTATATCAAATAAATGCTTATTAATAAAAGGAAAACTAAATTTTCCTGGGTTAATATCTTCGATAGAAGATATTATGTATATTTCTAAAATTATTATTAGCAGTCATTGCTACACTTAAATAATTTTTCAATCAGAAAAAAAACGTAGATAATTCAGATTGTGTCCATAATAATAATTCAAATGAATAGTGTAAGTAATAAGATTCTAAATAATTTGACTAGCTTTTATCTACATTTTTTCAGTAAAAAAAAACAACAGATCCTTCAAAGAAATATAAAATTTAAAAGAGAATACAATTCATAAAATTATTATAGATCTGAATGATATATATCGAGATGATAGATCTAGCCCAAAAATAAAATATAGTATAGAGATGAACAGGCAAAATAATGTGCAATATTTAGATATAAAGATAGCGAATGACATTTTAAAATTTTTTATATATGAAACAAAACTATTAATAAAATTAAAAACATTATTTTACTTTATTTTTAATACATAACATTATTTAAAATATATAATAAAAATTATGCTGAAATAAATATTACGTAATCAATACAAATCTTGCTGCGAGGTAATATTTTAACTACACAATAATCTGCATCAAATAACTTTAAATATTTAGAATTTTATAACCATCAAATAATCAGCTTAGTATTTGGAAAAAATAAAATCATTTGGGAGAGATTAATTGTTTAAAATTATATGAAGTTAAAATGCTGTCTTTAATTAACATTTTTTTAAATATATGACCTGGCTACTTTATGACATCTGGTGCATATACAACTGATGTATTTTAATTTATAATTATTTAAGTAATAAAATTTTTAAATTGATGATTTTTTTAAAAGTTTCGGAATATTTTTTCATATTATGACGTTTGCCTTTAAAATAATTTATATTTATTCATCATATCCGTGACGGTAATTCTCTCTATCGTCGGCAGATGGCAGCACAATAATAGCTTATTTTGAACAATAGGAATGTATTGATTTATGCTTATCTGAGCTGAGAAGTTTATTTTATACAATCTCATTTTAAGTTCTAAGAAAAAAGGAAAAATTTTCTTAATTGTTTAAGTTATTGATAATATGTTAAATATTAAAAATTTAAATAAGGATGAGAATGATGTAGCATAATCCTCTTGATCCTTGTTTAAAATAAAAGTATTTTTAATTGAATTTCAGTAGTAATTCTATGTTTGTGTGCAGCTTTATGACATCCATTAAAATAAAATATCTAAATTCATAATTATAATACTTAGATCCTTTTGCTCATCTATACAACTCAGTTAGGAAAACGAAACTTAACATCTTTTTTATTTGTCCAATAAAAGAGTGATTCAAATTTAATCACTCAATGCAATCCATTTTTAATTCTTTCATAGAAATTTTTTTTAAAAAATAGCAGCGAAAATTGAAATCAAACACAGTCAATAAAAATGTAAATCTAACACCGGAGTGCAAGTTAGCAGCGAGTTAAGAAAACCCCAGTTAGGAAACAGACTGTCCAAAATAATGAAAAATGCACTTTTCGACTTGTGGTCAATATTTTCAAACCAGGTTTTCGCGGTACGTCAGTGTCAACGGTGAATAGGGGGTTAAAAATTGACTACAAGAATCAGGTTTCTCACTAGTATGAATAATGCTTTGTTTCATCAGATTACTGTTGTGAGTAAAATTCTTGTTACATATACAACAAGAATAAGGCTTCTCTCCAATATGAGCAAAAAGTGCTCAGTCATATAACCTCTATGTGAAAAACTCTTATTACATATACTGCATAAATAAGTTTTTCACTAGTATAAACATAACCATGTTTAGTCAGATGACTTTTGCATGAAAAACTCTTTACATGTGGCAAGAGAGTAAAGATTCTCAACAATGTGAACGAGACTGTCCTTAGACAGATAACTTATTTGCATAAAAACTTTTATTGAATATACTTTAAGAATAAGGTTTCTCACCAGTGTGAACACGACTGTGTTTAGTTAGATAACGTTTTTGAGAAAAACTCTTGTTGCATATACTACAAGAATGAGGTTTCTCACCAGCGTGAACACGACTGTGTATAGTCAGATGACTTTTTAGCGAAAAACTCTTGTTGCATATGCTACAAGAATAAGGTTTCTCACCCGTGTGAACACGACTGTGTTTAGTCAGATGACATTTACGCGAAAAACTCTTGTTGCATATACTACAAGAATAAGGTTTCTCACCAGTGTGAATACGTCTGTGTTCAATTAGATAACTTCTGTGCGAAAAACTCTTGTTGCATATACTACAAGTATAAGGTTTCTCACCAGTGTGAACACGAGTGTGTTCAATTAGATAACTTTGTTGCGAAAAACTCTTGTTGCATATACCACAAGAAAAAGGTTTCTCTCCAATGTGAACAAGACCCTGTTTAGTTAGATGACTTTTTCGTGAAAAACTCACATTACATAAACAAGAATAAGGTTTCTCACCAGTGTAAACACGCCTGTGTTCAGTTAGATAACTTTTATGTGAAAGACTTTTGTTGCATATACTACAAGAATAAGGTTTCTCACCAGTGTGAACACGACTGTGTTTAGTCAGATGACTTTTATGCGAAAAACTCTTGTTGCATATACTACAAGAATGAGGTTTCTCACCAGTGTGAACACGACTGTGCTCAGTTAGTGAAATTTTTCGAGAAAAACTTTTGTTGCATATACTACAAGAATGAGGTTTCTCATCAGTGTGAACACGACTATGTTGAGTCAGATGACTTCTTTGTGAAAAACTCTTGTTGCATATACTACAAGAATAAGGTTTCTCACCAGTGTGAACACGTCTGTGTTCAATTAGATAACTTCTGTACGAAAAACTCTTGTTGCATATACTACAAGTATGAGGTTTCTCACCAGTGTGAACACAACTGTGTTCAATTAGATAACTTTTTTGCGAAACACTCTTGTTGCATATACCACAAGAAAAAAGTTTCTCTCCAACGTGAACAAGTCCCTGTTCAGTTAGATGACTTTTTTGTGAAAAACTCATATTATAGAAACAAGAATAAGGTTGAGTATAGAGTATAGTTAAGTGCGGCGAGCTCTCTGCTTATCGCTTTGCGTTTCTCAACAGTGTGAAGATAACTCTCGGGGATAGCCTCATACGCACTGTCTTGAATGCCAGCCGTTTTATAACCCTAAATTTTGGCAATCAGCTGAAATGGGTGATTGCCAAACGAATTCTATCGCCAAGGGCTTGGATGCCCAATTTTTTGAGTGTGAAAATGGCGAATACGATTTATAGCTGGTATAATGTTAAGAGGACGCAATACCTACCCTCTCAATGCCAGCTGCTAATGCTTTCTCTATGGGAGCTTCATTTGCTAATAACTTTTTTGCNCTCTAAGAGGAGAGGACCAAAAAAGAACGGTGTTACCGTCGTGATATCAGGAACGGGGAGGAAATTGAAATAACAGGTACAGAAGATAGAAATAAAATCGCATGCAAAATGTAAACATAGTTCAAGAGTGAAAAATCTGGGTTTTAAAGAAATAAGGATAACGAAATAGAAAATTAAAGATAAACATAAATAAACACTAACTTATGGAAACTCTATTCAAGTAGGCTAATCCATTTTAAAATTGTTAAGTTTTAACTGTAAATTCTAACTGGAAAGTTTGGAAGACATAATAATTTTTATATTTATTGCATATTAAATACTATGCTTTTCAGGTAACGTTCTTAATAAAACAAAACTAATTTTTTAAAAATAATTCATTGAATTAAACTTTCCCTCAGAAATTTCGAATTAAATTTCAATTAATGGTTATCGATTTCTAAAACATAAATTTTAAGCAAAATCATACTAACTTTAAATTTACTTTTTTAAAGAATTATATGAAATTATAATTATTAAAACTGAATACATAATACTTTTTCTTCCAATATTTAAACATTATAATACTCTATACAATTTTGATCTTATTTAAACAAATTAAGCAAAGTAAATGGTGTTTTCTTTAAACATAAATTTTAAGCAAAATCATACTAACTTTATATTTAATTTTAAAATTTATATTTGCTTTTTTAAAGAAACAATAATTAGTAAAAAATAAAGATGCATTACGTCTAAATTATACACTGTAAAATTTTTAAAATACAGGAAAAGAAACTTACTTCATTTACGAATAAACGTCCAGTCGAAAGAGAAGGGGGGAAATAAACAGTAATTTTTTAATAGCAAATCTTAAATTAACAAAAAAAGAAGTTTGAAATTAAAAAATAAAATTATATTTATTGCGAATTAGACAATTTCAATAAATTATTAATTCAAATAAAAACTCTTACAAAAAAAACAGTTTGCGTAACTTTCCACACATCCATATTGAATGAAAGAAAACAGAAGTGCGCGCCTTTCTATGGAACCAATCAAAACATCGGCGGAAAACTTGCCAAAGTATCGGGTGATCTTTTTCTTAGAAGGCATTCCTCCCACAGCTGCACTGGGGGAAAAATTCATCAATGTCAAAGTTCATCTTCTAGAAAGGACCGCTCTCCTTCTATTCAACTGAGCAATCTGAAATTATCACACCCCCTTCAATGGGACTTAGAGGAAATTTATTACCATTGCAATACTGAAGTTATGCTTTCATGACTGAAAAAATATTCCTTATAAACTAAATTTTTTATAACTTAAATTATTTCGTAATAGTAATTTCCATCAATAATTAGGGTGAATAAAATTCAAAATAAATTACATTTTTTTATAATAAGAACATTCCTTCAAGTAAAAAAGTATGTATTACGACATCGATTCCCAAATTTTTTTCGATTATGAAACACCCTAAATGATCCAACTTTTTTCGACGAACCTCCGATTTTGTAAATGTAATAATTTTACGCATGTAACAATTTAAAACGCCTTATGTAAACATTTAATGCATTGATATCCACGAACTAATTTTCAGAGGTGTACCGTTACCCCTCTAGCTGTGATCTCTAAATTTAACTTTAGTAACGGTTACCCAGGTTATACAGTAGGCAAGTATCTAATGAATTACAGGAAACTCTTAACATTTAAAACTCATTTTTATTGCAACTCTAAATCTTCAAAAAACATAATTCCACACATTTCCAAATGCTAACATGGGAATAAACAGTTCCCTTTATACATTAATTAAAACAACATGCAACCTTAAAACACTCAAGCATAAACTTCAATTCATACAGTTAAGAAAAAAACATTTAAGAAATAAAAACTGCATTTAACATTACTAAAAACACTTAAGACTTGGTTTGTGATGTATCACACTTAAATACTCATTGTTCTCCTACCCAAAAAACACAACATAGACAGTTCAGAATTTACGGTAAAGGATTCCTCTAAAATGTTAACGAAATAAAATTTAAAGTTTTATAAGTACCCAAAAGAATTTACTGTTCGCCCTCTGGAAACGCCCACCGGAATGGTAGATGAGGTCGTGGACAAACTCCTCGGCTAGGATCTCAAAATCTCTCCAGCTATTCTAATTTCATTAGGCTTAGGCATGTAGAAGGGGAACACCGGACTTCCAGCATAGATACGTTCGGACTTGGCCCACCGTCTCGAAGATATCGGTCTTCGGCAAAACGGACCACCTTTCCAGCGGACAAGCTCCGTATCCTCCAGGTTACTCCTTTAGCCTTGAACTTGAATATATGATGTTCCGAAGTACTTGCCCGCGAATGCGAGCATCCCACTTCTTCATCTGTTATGTGCCCTAAGGCGTCTATGACTAGTAGACTATTAAAAAGTAGAAATTCCACAGGGGGGCTGTGGTCGTATTGGGATGTTATCAGGTCAGCTTGGAGGAGATCTCTGTGTCTAAGGTTTTTTTGGCAGTTGAAATCGGAGTAGATTTTGGAGATTTGGGTCCTTGAGGAGCTCTTGCATTTCCTTCAATAGCAGCAGGAACCTGGTGGCTTTGTTTGAGGCTTTGCTGGGCTGGGTGGGTCTCACTCTAGGTCTTCTTCTGGGTCTTGCACCGCAGTCCGAATAACATGCTAGGTGCTCACCTAGGCAGTTTATACACTTAGCAGGCTCGCTCGCTGGTTTTGTACAAGTGTACGTGAGGTGTGCATTGGCACACTTCATACAAGCAGGCTCAGCAGTGCATGTCTTCTGTGTGTGTCCGAACTGTTGGCATCGGAGGTGTTCCAGACGCAAGTGCGTGAACGCAGATGCAGTGATTATTTATTATATTATTTCTTACATTATTCTTTTGTTGGCAACATGTATATATTTTTGTGTACACTTGTGATAGTAAAAGAGTTTGTTCTATGAGATACTTGTTTTAGTGTTGATTGTAGTTAGAAAACATTTACGTTTACAACCAACACATTTTGGTGCCGAAACAACTCGGTTTAAAATTAAATATGAATCAGATGAATAATTCACGCAGTCACTCTTTTAAAAACTAACGAAACGTCAAACATCAGTATTACTCAATGATGGAGAAACCAAACGATAAAGAACTTGGCGATAGTCTGGCACTTTTGAAAAGAAAAAGAAGAACAGTGCGAGGTAATGTTACTCGATTTATTACTCAATTAAATTCCGATCTTTCTGCAACCTCTGACACTTTAACCGAAAATGTCGAATATATTAGTCATCGGCTTTCCGATTGCTTGTTAGAAATGAAGAAATTGGATAACGACATTCATAGTTTATTAACAGATGATGATTATGACAATGATATTATTCAATGTGAAGAATACGTGGATAATGCCGAGCTCGCTATCTTTAAAGCAAAAAAATTTGGTAGTAGAACTAATTTTGAATNTTCTATCATCTGTACTGCTATATACAATGCCATGTGCAACGGTAGTACGAAGGTACCTGAATGTAGTCTGCACAATTTCCCAATCAGTTTCTGTGGGATTGTCCAATTTACGAGATACTAAACTTACTGCATAAGCAATGTCAGGTCGGGTTCCCATCGCTAAATAAAGCAAGCTACCTACTGCTGATCTATATGGAATGTGACTGCTAAGAGGATTTGCCTCCTTGATCTTTATCATCCCATCAGCATTCGGAAGTTCATATTCAACCTTCAGATTTGCCTTCTTCACCGGAATGCGCGATGTCTTAGTAGCATCCCCATAACGCTCTAGCATCTTTTTAGTAAATGCTTCTTGGTGCAAAAAGATTGAACCGTCCTTCAATTGTTCAACTTGTAAACCAAGAAAACAATTTAAGGTTGTCACTCTAAGGTTGAAATGTTGCTTAAGTTCGTTCATAAAGGTGAAGAATGATGCTTCGTCTTGTACAGCGACAATACTATCATCAACATAAATCGCCATCAGCATCTTGTGTCCCGAGTTTTTACGAGTGAAGAGGCAGTGGTCAGATTTGCTTTGGGCCATACCATGTTTCTTTAGCACGTCGGTAAACTTGGCATTCCAACATCGACCAGCTTGTTTAAGACTGTACAAAGGTCGGAGCATCTTGCATATACGTCCGCTTCCGTCATCATATCCTTCGGGTTGATACATGTATATATCCTCAGTCAAATCACCATAAAGGAAAGCTGTCTCCATGTCAATTTGAAATAATTTTAATTTCTCCTTAGCTGCTGTTGCAATTAGAGCTCGAATAGTGTCGTAGCGACAAACTGGACTAAAAGTCTCCCCGTAGTCGATATCTTTCGCCTGCGTATATCCTTTCGCGACTAATCGAGCGTTAAATCTTTCGATAGAGCCGTCTGGGTTAGTCTTCACTTTGTAAAAACAGCGATTTGTGAGAATATTTCTTTCTTCAGGTGGTTCAACAAGTTTCTACGTACCGTGCTTGTTTTGCGAAGCCATCTCTTCGGCCATGGCTCGTTTCCAGTTGACATGTATCGAAGACTTCATAGCTTCTTCATATGATTGGTGCTCTGTCAAGTTCAGGAAGCTGCTGTAGACTTCATAGTCATTAAATCTGGGTGGTCGGCGTATAGTTTTTCTGTCACGCAATCCATGCGTCGTCATCTGTGATGGTTCATCTTCTACATTGCGAAGATTTTCACCCTTCTGCAAGTCAGTACCGTCAGAACTGCCTGAAATTTCAAACTGCATACCAGTTGATGTACTGACACTAGAAGTAGTTTCTGAAGACAGGGAAGTGGGACCTATCTGCTGCTCGTTGAACACCACATCGGAGCTCTTGATTGTGTCATTCTTTGATGGTATGAAAACACGATAGCCATCATAATC